CCCCCCCCCCCCGCGGCAGCAGACGACGGCGGCTTCGAGAGCGGCGCCTACAACAACTCGGCCATCCGGACGCCCAACCTGGACGCGCTGGCCCGGCGCAGCCTGCTCTTCCAGAACGCCTTCACCTCCGTCAGCAGCTGCTCCCCGAGCCGGGCCAGCATCCTCACCGGCTTACCCCAGGTGGGGGCACGGACCCGCACGGGGTGGGGGTTGCCAGCCTTCGGGGGCACTTGGGGTGACCACAGCCAGTGTGTTTGCAGCATCGTGATCGGACCTGGCAACCCCCCCATACCGCTCACCCCCTTTCTCCCTGCCCCTGGACCTGCTGCCCAGCGCTGCAGCTGCAGCTCCCCTCTTTTTGTGGGGCCCGGGGGCAGACACGGGCCAACCGTGTTGTCTCTCCCCGCCCCCTGCAGCACCAAAATGGGATGTACGGGCTGCACCAGGACGTGCATCACTTCAACTCCTTCGACAGCGTGCGGAGCCTGCCCTGGCTGCTCCGCCAGGCACACATCCGGACAGGTAGGGAGCTGGGGGAAGTGACACGGCTGGAAACCCCCCCTCCCTGCACAGAACCCCATCGGTTAAGAGAGCTTCATGGCTGAACTATCCCTGCTCAGCGGTCATACAGGGGCTTTGCTTTGCTTCCCCCCACTGCTGCTCCTCTGCCATCCTCATTACACCTCACTTTCATTTTTGCTCTCCATCCTGCTCCTTCCTGGTTCCCAGGTTCACACAAGGTTTGAGCTTGACCCAAACTTCCACCTGGACCATTCAGCTGCTCTGGCTCTTAGCCTTGCCTGTGACCAGGGGCAGTGTGGTTGCCAGGGGGTCCCTTTTTCTGAGATGTGGAAGTGCCTCTGCAATGGCTGGAGAAGCCAGCAGCATCTCCCACTCTGAGCAGCGTTTGCTGAGCACAGCCATGCTGGAGCAAATGAGCCCCACCAGCCCCAGGAGGGAGGCAGCAGCCCATGTCCTGCCCCCCAAGCCCCTGCTCCCACACAGCACCTGTCTGCCTTCTCCCAGGGATAATTGGGAAGAAGCACGTTGGGCCTGAGACTGTCTACCCGTTTGACTTCGCCTACACCGAGGAGAACAGTTCAGTTTTGCAGGTTGGGAGAAACATCACTCGAATCAAAGCGCTCGTGCGGCAGTTCCTGCAGAGCCAGGACCAGAGGTGAGATGGACCCTGTGGCCCTGGGGTGGGCTGCCAGGGGGCAGGGAGAGGAGAACTAGCCACCCTGAAGACATGTCTCCATGTCCCAGTTGGTCACAAAGAGGGACACCTTGTCTCTGCTGCATCCAAAGCCCAGATTAGGCGGGAGTCCCCCCGCAGACCCCAGCCCAGCCCTGCACAGCCCAAGGAAGGTCTCAGGGAACAGGGGCAGCCTTTTGTGACACCACCTCCATCCTTCCCATCACCAGGCCTTTCTTCCTCTATGTTGCCTTCCATGACCCGCACCGCTGCGGGCACTCCCAGCCCCAGTACGGGGCCTTTTGTGAGAAATTTGGCAACGGAGAGAGCGGCATGGGCTGGATCCCTGACTGGAAACCACAGCTCTACCGCCCGGAGGAAGTGCAGGTGGGAGCCTGTGGGGCTGCTTGGGGCTGGGGAGGGCTGTGCAGGGCCCCATGGGTGCTGCCTGTGACAGCAGCCACCACAGGAGCCTGGGTGGCTGCAGGC